TTTTAATGCTTGAACAATAATTTTAAAAAATATTGTGACACAATTAAATGAGATCTCAGTGTCCATTCAAAAAGTCTCACTGGAACCCAGCCACACTCATTTGTTTACATTTGGCTGGGGCTGTTTTCACATGCTATAAGGCAGAGTTGAGTAGTTGTGACAGAGATTGTACAGCCCACAAAGCCTAAAGTATTTATTACATGGCTCTTTATAAGTCACCTGACCCCTAGCCTAGACTAGACCACCTTGTAACAGGCACTCCAATTTTGGTGCATGAATAGGACTTGAATTCATTCCTTTTGAGAACAGCCCATATCCATTAGAGGCCACGAGCTGAGGATTCCAACCACGGGACTGAACTGAGTTATTACTAGGCTGCTACTCCACTGAAGCTCACTCACAAAAACATTTCTGAGATAAGGCATTCTTTCGGGTGTATAAAATTAAAGATGAATCTTTAAATTTTGAGTCTAGAAGTATGTCATTATTTATGTTTGCCTTGTTGTTGTTTTTTCTCTGAAAAATCCTTAAGACTATTTCTTAATGTGGTTCTTCCAAAAGGCTCCTAAACCACCAATCACAGACTAGCCCTAACAGAGGGCAAACACAGGGCATATAGGAAAACCCATAAAATCATCCGCAGAGACACTGCAAATACTCTACACAGTAGTTGGTGAACCTAGGCTGTTATCATCTTTGGAAACTTCAACTTAGAATTCATGAGTCCTTACCCACTTCCAAGCCAAGATCTCCTTCAGAACTTGGGCACTAGGGAGTTTGCTTCTGAAACTGATAAAGGGCAAATGATTCACAAAGAACAAATTAAAATGATATGCAAATGAACAGATTTCTTGATTCTCATATTGAGAAGCTGTAATGATCTCAAATAAAAAGAAACAAATAATTGCAGGCACTCACATATCTGAGTGACTAACACAAGATAACTAAGGACTCTATATAGCATAACCTTATTTATTAAGATGAGAGTATCATTCTCAGTCATTAGAACTTAGGGATAGATACAGAGTACAGGGGTTTACTATCTTGCAAAATTATACGATTTGTTAGTGACAAAGTGGAGACTGTAAACCTCCCCTAAACTCCATGTTTGCCTTTCTTTGTAGGGATAGCTGAAACAGATCACTCATTTATTCCGTGTACTTCTCCAGCTTGAACTCGCACTACTGGCTTGCACTTTGGTATATGTTGAAGCTATCCTCATACCTTTATTTTTGACAAAAAAATTTTTTTTAGGTTTATAGAAAAATTGCAAAGAAATCAAGAGTTCCCATACATACTACACCCCATTTCCCCTATTATTAAATCTGATATTGGTATGGTACATTTGTTACAATTAATGAATCAATACTAATACATTATATCAACTTGAGTCCAGTACTTTATTCAGATTTCCTTAGTTTCAGGACCCATCCAGGACATTACATTACATTCAGTCATGTCACCTTAGGCTCCTGGTGGCTGTGACAGTTTCTCACTTCCCTTGTTTTGATGACTTTGACAATGTTGAGGATGACCAGTCAGCTAGTTAGTAGGAAGCCCCTCAGTAGGGATTCATCTGATTTTTTAAAAAATTTAGATTGGGTTATTAATTTTGGGAAGATCCCAAAGTTGAAGTGCCATTTTCAGTACCTCATAGCAAGAGTATATACTAGCATCACCATGACTTACAACTTTTCATGATGACACGGATCAACTGGCTCTGGCAATATTTGTCAGGTTACTCATTTTTTTCTTTTCTTCCTTACTGGACTTTGTGGGAGGAAATCACTATGCACAGCCCATATTTAGAAGTGGCAATTATGTTCCATGAAAAATTTCTCTCTTCTTTCCATTTATTTATTCATTCAATCATATTATTCCACCTTTGGTCAGTAGGAGCTACTCATGCCTTCTTCTTTGCTTCCTTTGGTCTTGAATGTATCCTTGCTTTTCACGATTCAGCTGAGAAGTTACCTCCTCCAAGGAAAAAAAATTCATGGAACCACCCTTACTCCCACTGAACTTTATCTCCTACCATTCTAGTTTATGATTTTTCCCATTACCGTACATCTAAAATTTACATTGATTATGTGTTTATACACTGTATACTTATCCATCTTTCCCTCTGGAAAATAAGCTTTTTGATCATATCTTATTTATTTTGTATGTAGTACATAGTGCCTCACTTGCACAAAGCAGGAGCTCAACAAATATTTCTAGAATGATCATTATGGTTTTCTCTTTAGTCTAGGAATGCCTAACATATTAACCAGAAGCCACACAGAAGCTGGTAAATAACTGACTTGGGAGGAACTACAAGGTGCTACTATTGTGTTAATCGGTCATGTAATCAGGATCTAAGTTAACACTTCCTCATGTCTCACTTCTAAGTAAGCCTATTTCCTGACCATTAATCCCAGTTATATTTGCATAACTACATTAAAAGCAATGAAATTATCAGATTGTTTAGAACCAAAGACTGGGTAGTTTCTAGCACTGCTTACCTTAGAGAAGTGGTGTCCCTAAAATAGCACACAGACATTTTGGTCATGAGTTTCCCAAGTGACTTAGTGCTAGTTCGGAATTGCATAACCACTGAAGAAATAAATTTGCTGAGTTGTATTCTTCATTGTCAGGACTGATGAGAAAATGACTTTAAAAATTAATCAAGACTCTCTCAGATATAGGAACTAATGCTGTGGCAAACTATTAAGCTGAAACAGTTTTTAGGTTAGAGCATGCTATCATCTTTGTTGAAGTCACCATTAACTCTTGACTGATCACCTTCCTACTTGTACTCTTGCTCCATCCATCCACTCACAATAAATGAGATCATGTTGTTCCACTTAACCCTTCCTTGGCACTGCTTTTATAACAAAATTCAAATTCTCAACCATGCCCTAAAAGGCTCCACATATCTAGTGGGCTCCTCTACTTCTTCAAACTCACCCCATACGTGTCTCTTCCTTGTTTATTAATGCCAGCCATGCTCATCTTTCTGAAGCTGTGGCTCAGTCTCATAAATTTTCTGATGTCCAGTAACTCCATCTTGTTACAAGAACTTTACAAAGTTCTTCAATCTTTAATGTTTCAAATGCACATGTTGTGTCTAAGAAACCCTCTACAAATCTGCTGAAATAGAGATTAGACTGAAAGATAAAACCCAAATTCTTCTTGAATTAAAGTGGTTTTTTTTGGGTGTTAGAATGTACATTATCTTTAAGCTTTATTTAACTGATGTTATTTTTCCAAGAAATAGTAATAGTTTGATGTTGACATCCTACAAAAAATACCACAAATTTAAAAATTGTTTCTTACTATTTACAAGAAAAGAAGTTAAAACATAAATTTAAATAAAGCATTGCCTTAAAATAATTCATTAAAAAAATTCAGTCCCTTTGATAACTAAAGTACCTTATTACATCATTCCAAACACATGAAAATTAACATGACCACCCAAAATAAAATATTATTAAAAATCAGATCACATAAAATACCACAACAATCTGCTTCTATTTTAGCACATTCAGAGACATGAACTCTCTGCTTCCTGTTTTGATGATTTTTCTGGACCCATCTGCCTACGTGAAGTTCTTCAAGAGAAGAACCTACACTTGAATATTCCTTCTATACCTCTGCAAAATGTCGTTCGTTAGTCTTAGAAACAAAGGTCAACTAACACTGTTCTGACTGATGACAGGCATAACTTTTGAATGACAGTGACCTTTTCTCTCAGAATTGAGTCCAAAAGTTTATCAACTCCCAGAAGTTAGTAAGATATAACTGTGAAGCTGAAAATAAAAAATTTCACCTAAGTTTGCGGTAAACTCATTGGATGGTAAAAACTATTCTGGCCCTGGCTGGGTGGCTCCGTTCATTGGGGCATTCTGCCGTACACCAAAAGGTTGTGGGTTCGATTCCCAGTCAGTGCACATACCTAGATTGTGGATTTGATCTGTGATTGGGGCTCGTGTGGGAGGCAATAATCAATGTTGTTTTCTCTCTCTCTCTCTTAAAAATAAAAACATATCCTTGGGTTAAGGATTAAAAAAAAACTGATCTGAACTGATGCAAGACTAATTTTAGCCTTTATTAATCCCATGTTAGGTGAAAGTTGTTTTTTTTTGTTGTTTTTTTTGCCGCAGAATATTAATGTGTTTGAGAATAGCACATTTATTTTTCCAGACTCTATTGGAGGGTGTTACAAAACGTATTATCATTCATATAGTTATTCACACCAAGTTTCTCCAAGTGTCTATTTTCAAAAATATATGGAGTTAATTTTGTTTATATCTTTTTCTAAAAAGCATACAGATTTTTAAAGTAGCTCAAACAGAAGGCTTTACATTACTTTTGCTTGACCTGCTATTCTACTAACTTCTTTCCTTCTACAAACTGAAAACTATTTAGAAAAGTAACTAGACAGTTTAAGAGATTACATGGCTTAGAAATTTTGGTAACAGAGCTTCCAATTCTTTACCTATATGCCAGGGACTGGCAAACCATTGTCTGTGGGCCAAATCCAACCCTCTACCCATTTCACTGTTATGCCCACTTGTTTACATACTGTCTGTGGCTGCTTTCCTGCTACAAGACAGAGTTGCATAGTGACACAAACCTTATGACCTGCAAAGCTGAAAATATTTACTGTCTGGCTCTTTAAAGAAAGTGCAAGGGTTGAACTAACTATACATTCTGCCAAGGATGGTACTAATAGCTATGATTGTGTGAAATAAGTTGGTTTGCCTGCATTTAGAGCTTATGACATATACTAGTATGTGTGACACTTCAAAGGCAGAGATATGTCACAGACTGACATTCCCTTTCTGTGTGAATGTGGTCTTAACGAGTCAAAATTTTAGATCTTTGGTCAGAAGTAGAGGGACTGAGGAGTATAGTACTTGCTGACGAGAGAAATCTGGTCAGAGAATGAAGAAAGGAATTTGTATGGTAAAGTTATTAATATTTCCACCTACTGTAAACATTAAATTCACTGAAAGGAACCCACATACTTTTATATTTACGTTGACATGCATAATTTCAAAGAGGTGGGGAAATATGGGCCTTAAAAACTACTCACTGGTACATTATTCTACAGCTCATGTGTGCTGTCTTGAGGAGATTACTGTCTCTTGCCACAACTGACACAAACTTTCCCAGCTCAACCATGGCTCAATAAACTTTTATTACTTTTTGTTATTTACTTTTATTTAAAAGAATTTGTTTCCCTATCACAAAAATTAGATAACTACACCATCAACAGCAGCAAAGTCCACAGAGTTACATTGATGGTGCAGAGTTCACTGGGCATTCCCAATGTCCCAAAGGGCATAAAGGAGGGGGAAAAGTAAAAGAAAAAAATACTCAAAACAAATTCAAAACCCATAATGATGTCGGGGAGAGACTTGTCATGATAGTCTCTATCTTCTTTCACTGTTGGCTGCAGATATACTTCAGCAGGACCACATACAAATTAACTTGAGTAAACCTTTCATACCAACTCCAGCACCTAATTAGGGGGAGAAAAGGATCAGTTTAATAAAAAGTTTAAGAACATATAAAGAGTTTAATGCATCTTTACTATATTGTAAATGGTGAACTAATTCAGGAAAACTTTCGTTCACGGCTAAAATGCCAAAGAATTTGAAGGAATTAGTCATTAATCCTTTCTTGCTTTTAATTCAACAGTTGGATCAATGCTCTGAGATTAGTTATCTCCAGAGTTAACTAGAAAGAAACTGGCTGATGCATAGCATGGATATAACATTTTTGGAACATATACAGGGTGTGGCAAGAGTAGGTTCATAGTTGTATCCACTTTTGAAAATAATACTAAATAAATAATAATACAAGAATAAACTCTATGTTTATTCTTGTATTTTTATTTATTAATTATTGTAATCAAAAGTGGACACAACTGTAAACTACTTTTGGTGTCTTTCCATATTCTTAAGAAAAGTTTAAGTATTGCTGTTTAGGATTTTAAGCTATTTATTTCTCCCATTGATAAAGAGTTTGCAGTATCAAGGTATACAGGACCTAATATTTTGCCTTTGCCTATTATTTCACATATTTTCTAGTTTATCATCTGGTGTCAAAATATTTTGCTAGTTATTACAGTAGAGTCTTGTCATACAAGAAAAGTGAGATATTGCTAAAATTAAAAATGACAAGAAGCAATGATCAGTTATAAAAAGAATAGAAGAAATGGCTAAGAAAGAACATAGAACATGAGAAAAATTACAAGCCACTGTCAAAAAGAATGTAAAATGGAGGGTGCAATTCTAGGTGGCAAAGAATTAAAGGAGCAACTATTCCCCCTCCTGTTAGTGCTAAGGCTTGACTTATACCTGTGCTTCCATAATGGTTTTTGTCTTTATGGTTAGCAAGCAGGCTACTTAACATAAGAGGTGAATGCTGTTGAACAAAATCTTAGATTTATCACTAAGATTCTATAAGTGCATATGTAACTTTGAGCTTCTGTAGCTACTTTAGCAATTCTAATTGCCTCAAAGGCCAAACTCACAGAAGGATAAGGTGCAGCTTTTTCAATAAATGGCTTGTCATGAGAATAAGAGAAAGGGAGACTGAGAGACTACAGAGAACCACTTAAATCAGAGATTCCATTTATTTGTCCAATGTACTGTGCCCCAAGTGCTAAATATCCAATGGTATAATTAGATACAATTTTTATTTCCGTAAGCTCCTAACTACAAAGAAAAGCAGGTGGAAAACTATGTATGAATTTGACACTGAAACTTGTGTGCCCAGAGACATTTAACTTTTGGATCAAACTAATGGCAAGATCACATGATCGATCAATTTTCAACAGAACACTAAAATACCTTTTCTTTCCTTGGCAACTGAAGTAAAACCCACTTGTCAGGGAAGAGGACATGAAGAAGAGTAAGATATTTGTAAATCTGGTGAATGTCTAAGCATCTCCAGCTCTATCTTGGAATGCCCTGAGGGTCTTTGGACTGGCATAGAAAAGCTGAACAGCATTTGGTCCACAGCAAATGCTTAACAGCCATTGCCTGTTTTTCATTCTGACCACTCATCAATCCACTGAGCATTCATATAACCTATAACAAGTACTATCATCTTCTCCATAGTTGCAAGCTACTTATTCTTTTCCCCTTCAATCAAAACCATTTCCAAGTAGACATAGACCCATGATTTGGAAATACCTCTAAGGCTAGTACAACTCTGTATTTCCATGTTATAGTTATATTCCATTACAGTCTAAAAATGAAACTGAATTTAAAATGGAGATGTATAAAATAAATAGCTTACCTTAATTGTACCCTGACTGTTAGCAGCAATCAGCACATTGGACTCCTAGAAAAGAATAAGAACTTTTAAAGTATAGAGGATTTTCTGGAGGGCAGTCCAAGAGAATAGATTCCTCTTCGTTCTTCTTTCTTCCCTTCACCCCAAGAAACTAATAGAATCTAAAGCAGGGAACCAACTTTAACATGATTTTAACTACAAATTTTAAACACAAAATTCCTTATTTTGAGAATTAAGTTTTAATAAAAATAATAAAGTTGGAAGCAGAGTAGGAAACTTTCAAATGTAAAGAAAAATAAAAGAATAGATTATTACTAGAAGGAAAGCTAAAAGAAAGAATGACTGGAAGAAAACACCAATAAAACTTGAGAAAAACGAAGAGCATAATCCTTTCCATAGAAAACTCCCCCTTCATTCATTTTTTCCCATAAAATACCAGTAATTGATGTAAATGCTACAGTAGAGTCTTGTCATACAAGAACATGGACAGCTATTCAGTATTAGGAAAACAAACAAGTGTGAATATTCATCTGGGAAAAGGAAGGCTGTCTTTCTTTTTAATTATTCTATCACTCAGTATATGCATTTTTAATAACTTTGGTGATTACTTGAAATAGAATGTATGTGGTAATGTATTTTTTATATTCTAAACTTTAGGAAAAAATCATTTCTCTGGCAAGTAGGAAGAGTAGGAACAAAATGGACAAGACTGTCCATTTACTTAAGGAAACTCATTAAGTAAGAAGAGTTGGGACATGTCTCCTGTTGGAAACGAAGAGTCTGGAGCTTGGAAGTGTATAAAGTCTTTTTGCTTTTCAGAGTAGGCAGCTAAAAGGAGGTAGACAGACTCAAAATGCCATAGAGGCCACATGGCTGATGGAACGACCAAGTCCAAACAACAGCTATGAGAAACAGGTAATGTAGTCAAGCCTCAATGAAGAATAGGGTCTGCTTGTATATCCTACAGGCTTCATGACAAAGTGATGAAGACAAGAAAGAAAACTCTTGATCTATATCTGCAAAAGTCAGGCATCTGTGCTCTATAAACTTGTACGTTTCTATTTTTTTTACTTCCCTTTGATTCCTAATAAAGTTACTTTTGGAAAATGCTCATGTTTTTGCTACTGGTGTGATAGGAAATAATTTTTTCCACAACCCCTCAAAATTATAGTATCAGAACATTCTTTGGTTGTAGTTGGTGGCGATAAAATCCATGGTCCTAATTATATCAAGAAGGAATAATAGACATGTTTTTGCTGGGGTGGACATGGGAACTCCTGATAGGGGGGTTGGGGACCAAAAAAACCCCCTCAAAATATGGCACCTTGGCATATTATATACTTTAAGCTAAAGGAATCTGAGAAAACAACAGAAGCAGGAAGGTCACTCTGACACCCATCATCCCCCCCCCCCCCCCCCGCAACCCATAAAGTCCTCAGGTGAGAAGTGCCCACCCTATACACAGAAGAAAACAACACCTTTATCTCCAAAGACAAAGGGATGCCAAAAAGAATCCAAACAAACAGGACTTGCTGTTTCCTCCATGCTCTGTAACCTACCACATTTCTACACGACTGCCCCTCTTCCTCAAACTTAGCACCAATTACTCAGGCTTGTTTCTTTGGGTCTTCATTTCCTTGTGAAGGTTCCTGTGTCACATAAAGCTTAAATAAAGCTCTTCTTCTGTTAATAAGTCACTGACATTTAATTTTCAGACCTGGTCAGGGATGCTAAGAAGGTTAAAGAAAACTTTTTCCTCCCCTCCCCCAGTATTTCCCTAGGTGAGGTTTTTCCTTAAATCAGCACATGTAATCTTGAAAATAGTAACATGGGTAATACAGTTTTCACTATTAGAATTACTTTCAATATCCACTCTGGACCCAGACATGATCCTTCTGTGAACACCTTCCAGATATGAAGCCACAAATAGCACTGACTGATCTAGTTTCTGTTTGAGCAAAGACTCCAGTCTCCAAGAAAGCCCCGGCCACCATCAGACACTGCAGTCACCCAAAGCTGCTCGCTCTGCTGTGGGAACATACGATGATAGGATGGTGAAAATTTTATGACCAAAGCTCTATCTCTTTCTGCCATTTTAATTCTAGTTCCCTTAAAAAAAAAAATGATTTCAGTGAGGGGCAGATAGAAACTTCAATAATGAGAGAGAGAGAGAGAGAGAGAGAGAGAGAGAGAGAGAGAGAGAGAAACATTGATCAGCTGTCTTTTGCATGACCCCTACTGGGGATCGAGCCCAAAACTCTGGCATGTGCCCTGACTGGGAATTGAAACGTGACCTCCTGGTTCATAGGTTGATGCTCAACCACTGAGCCACACCAACCAGGCTCTAGTCACCATTTAATACAAAGAAGGAAGGCAGTGCAACCTGGTAGAGATGAAGGTGCACCCTCTCTGCCAGTTTTAGAGATTATAAATTACATAATTCAAACTTCTAATGCTCAGTAGAAGAAAATCTTGGAAAAGTGTAGTATATTATCATACAGTATGAAAGGTTAGGCTCAATTAAATAATACATAAGAGGAGTCTGAAGTCTGTATAATTACTACACTAAACCTAAGTAGGAAGACATCTGATAACTATCCAACAGGAACAAACAATGTCTTTTGTAACCTCAGAACTATTGTGGCATTAACAAGTGATGCCATATCAGATGCTACCAGAGGGTTAACACTAAACATATTTTCATGTGGAGACAGATAAATATCTCATTTACAAATAAGGTAACACAGGAAGTAAGGGCCCAGTTGGAACTGTCTTTTGGGACTAACATATAGGTGACAGAGTGTTATCCTAAGAATTCTTAGAAACATTCAAAACTGTTCATATTAACAAACAATGAGGAAAAAAAAAAGTTTACATCTCAGTATACCCCCTTCCTGAAAAAACCATGAACTTATAAAAAAGAGATTTAGGATAAAACTGTCTTTCAGATAACCAGGTATTGGTTGACGATAAATTAATTTTTGCATGCAACAGAAAAATAAAACCAGGTTATTATAAATGGTGAAGGAAGGAGACTTGAATTGGGTGGTGAAAACACAATACAATATACAGATGATGCATTATAAAATTGTATCCCTGAATCCTATGTAATTTTATTAACCAATGTCAACCCAATATATTCCACAAAAAAACAAAAGGTTGCTAAAAGTTGGCCATAAAACCAATACAATACAATACAATACAATACAATAAAACCTGGTATTTTACTTAAGCATAGAGGTATGAAAGTGGTAAGTATAAGGTTATTACTGTAGGTTTCAAGTGATTTTTGTTTGCATTTTGAATGACTGGTAGCTCTTAGCTGCAGCTATAGTCTGCTAGAGCCCAAATGTAAATAAGTTCTTGCTTAATGAGTTGTTTTCACTTACTAAGTGAAATAAACACCCTAGCCAATAATTCTCATTTTCTCCCTCTTTCTTGGAAACTGACATTTTTGTTATGAACTCTCCTCAAGGTTATGCTAATATTGCACCTAATATTTTCTTCTTATTATAAAGAGATTAAGGTAAGATAATGGAAAAATTAACAGCAAATGTTTTATAAAAATAGAAGACACATGCACAAAAACCACCTTGCTTATAAAGTGAGTAATACTATACTCACACTGATACAATGCTAGCACTTGGAGTGCGGGGTGAATTTTCCCGCCAAAATATAAGATGGCTCTGTCTTTTGTTTTTGGTCCATCCCACAAGGGTGGATACA